AGCCCGGCGCGGGCCCCGGGTGTGCGGCGGTGGGCACCGGCTCCGAAACGGGGTGTGTTCTCTGCTCCGGTCGAAGGAGGTTACGTGCCTCGGGGAGGAAACTGCCGCGCTGCCCATGCCAAGCGTTGGTATCCTGGCACAGCGGAACGCGGGGGGAGCCTTGCTGCTGCGCGAGCCTCCGCTTATTCCTAAAAACCAAAAAAACCACAACACCAGAACTTGAATTAAACGTTTTTACAGTAAATCGAACAGATTATTTTCCATTTTTGCACACTATAATTTTATTTTTTATGAAAATCTCGGTGGCCGCTGTAACAGCTTTTGTAACAGCTTGTGCTGTGAACTTTGCCCGTGTTCTTCAGCAACTTGGCGTTGTGTCTAATTAGCGGAGGTGGGCACAACTCAATCAGAGAGATTAGGTGACTGCCCTGCAGCGGCTGTATGATCAGAGAGTATGGCCGTGCCCAATATGATACAGACTTTATAACTGTAAATGACTCGAGTAGTGGTAAATGAATCGTTTAAGCATTTAAAAATGTTTTAAATGTGCCTCTGAGTCCAGAGGAGGCCACGAAGATGCTCAGAGGGCTGGAGCACCTCTGCTATGGGGACAGGCTGAGAGAGTTGGGCTTGTTCAGCCTGGAGAAGAGAAGGCTCCGGGGAGACCTTATTGCACCTTCCAGTACCTGAAGGGGCTACAAGGAAGCTGGGGGGGACTTTTTACAAGGGCCTGTAGTGACAGGACAAGGGGTAATGGGTTTAAATTGAAAGTGGGGAGGTTTAGATTGGATATCAGGAAGAAGTTCTTCCCAGAGAGGGTGGTGAGGCACTGGCACAGGTTGCCCAGAGAAGCTGTGGATGCCCCATCCCTGGAAGGGTTCAAGGCCAGGCTGGATGAGGCTTTGAGCAACCTGGTCTAGTGGAAGGTGTCCCTGCCCATGGCAGGGGGGTTGGAACTAGATGGTCTTTAAGGGCCCTTCCAACCTAAACCATTCTGTGATTCTAAATAGCTTGGTCAAGGTCGCTTAAGTAGGCTGTGGCAGAGCTGAAAATAAACTGTACAATCTTTGTGCCTCCTAATGTTTCCTCTTGTGTTCTAGTTCCAGCATTTTTGTGAACGTAGCTATTTACTCTATTTACAGAGTCGATAGTTGCCTGAATAAGCTAGAGCGTCACTTGAGCTGCAGAGATGTTGGAAGAAGATATGGAAGTGGCCATCAAGGTGGTGGTAGTAGGAAACGGAGCTGTTGGAAAGTCCAGTATGATTCAGCGATATTGCAAGGGGATTTTTACAAGAGACTACAAGAAAACTATTGGTGTAGATTTCCTGGAAAGACAAATCCAGTATGTGTTAAACAGATGCCATATTACTGATTCTTACCTTTCCCTCTAGTTCTTTGTTCTGTTGTAATCCTAAAATCTGCCTTGAAACAAGGCCGGCTGTCTTCAAAGGGAGGTGTTTTCTCTGTGGCACAGTGGGCTAAAATGGTGTCGCTCTGTTTTCCATACAAGATTTAAAATTATAAATAAAAAGCAAAATAAAATTTGGAACCTCTGTCGTACTAAGCTTTTTGACAAGTTTCCTCTGTATTCTACCACCTGTTGATTTTATTTTTTTTTAAATTTAATTTATCGTGGAAGAAGTGGAAATGCTTATGATAAAATGATTACACAAATTTATTAGCCAATATAGATTAAATTTATTGTGGGGTGAAAAATGTGCTATGGCTTTAGTCTCTTTATGTAATATAAGCAGATACTATGCAATTATGATTGATAAAATGCAAAATACTATTGTAATAAGAAGTAAGAAAATTCTGTAAGTTTGGTAAGCTGATTAAAAAGACCAAAGGACCATTATTCAGGCACCTGAGTTTTTTGTTTTGAAGTCTACATTATTTTCTCTTATGGAGGGAAATATAGAGGAAGAAGAAAATGGATTGTAAGGAAAGAGCATGTGATGTAATTGAGGGACTACTGCCACAGCGTGTTGCAGAGGTGAACTGTTACCGATATTAAGTTACGTTACAGTTAAGTGAAGTTAAATTTGCACTGAATTACTCCTGTATTGTAGACACAGAGAGAATTCCACGTCGGGTGTTTTGAGTTGCTCTTGTTCATTGTATTGATTACAAACCCGTGTCATTTATTTCAGAGTTAATGATGAAGATGTCAGGCTGATGTTATGGGACACCGCGGGGCAAGAAGAATTTGATGCAATAACTAAGGCCTACTATCGAGGTGAAAATGCCACGTTTGTTATTTGGCAGTTGGGTGGTTTTTTTGGTCTATACATCTCTAATGTATTTTCCTATCTCTGTATTAAGAATTTTAGTTATTTCACGTGTGTGCAAAGCATTTTCAGTTAACCTTTTTTCCATTCTTCAATGTTTTTCCCCTCCATGTAAGATCTTTGCCTTAACTGAGTGTCACTTTATGCAGGATGCTCAGTAGTGCCCTTTAAAAAATGAAACAGAAAGAGACAAATACCTGCAGAGAAACTGCACAGAATGCAGCCATTGAGACAATCACATGCAAAAGTATATTTTTCCCTCTAAAAGTGTTTTACTACTTCTGTAAGACTTATATTTCTAAGTGTTCCAAAAACTGTGGCTGAGGTGCTCAGAAATGAGTCTGGGGGGGGAAAAAATCCACCAGGCATCCTAGAAAGGTGGTTTACGAGGCACAGCAGCTCTCTTGCTAGTACAGGCTGCCATGAACACCTTAAGACAGCGGAGTAATAAGGAAGGCGTATTCACTTCACAGAATAGGAACTGTATAATCCCGTCGTACAAAGGTAGGTTATCGATTCAGCCTGTTACAGATTGCATTCTTGGGCTTTCTTTGCATATAATTTAACAGTGGCTGTGAAAATCTTTTTCCTTTTTGTTTTTTAATGTGAGAGCTATGAATGACCTGGCAAAGATTTCACCATTCAGTTCTTGTTGAACTAATTACCTGATGGCTGGGGAAAATACATCACTGTGGCATAAAATCTTAGAAAATTTGCCTCTGTTAGAGATAAAACAATAGTTACGCCGTGCTGTTTCACGGTGGTGTAGTCCTCTGACCTTTTTATGATTGATTTGGGTGTTTTTTGGTAATGTTTCTGGTTGTCACTCATGATTGATGATTACGATTTCTTCAGAGAAACATGCTTCTTTTCCGTTTTCTTTTTATCCTCATGTGGAAATAGATCATTCTGTTATTTTACAGCTGATGAGCCTATGAATTTTAGAAGGTAGTACTTGATTCTCTTGGAGCTTCCTTTTTACTCTCCTGGCCTTCAGTTGTCTTGTGTGCTTTGCTCTCCTCAGTTATTCCAAGCCAAAGTCTTTTTCTCCTGATTACTGAGACTGATATGCTAAGATATGATTCTGTGATTCATTCTGTGGTTCTATATAGAGTGTTCAGAATTTTAAAGTACACTTTCTGGCCTCTCTTACCCTGTACCTTGAGTATTTTGAAGTCTTGCTCATGACTTGTGCCCAGCATAGTGTAGTTAGATCTCTTACCTTCAAGGTCTTTGTACTGAAGAGGCTGCTGTGAAACGGAACAGGTCCTCTGGGTGCACATAGTAGCCAGCATGATGGATATATTAACAGTTCAAGCTGTTGGATACACTGACTGTTCTGCACTAGACTGACTCACGAAGGATAAGGAAAATACAAGAGCCTCGAATGCAATGTCAGTTTAGCATCAGGTCTGCAGGCACAGTATTTTAGAAGCAGAAGGTCAAGCGTGCTTTGGAAATGCAAGGATTTCATTGCCAGTTATTGCTGGTAAGAGGAGGATGCCTCTAAGGTAGGTAAAAGAGATGCTGGCTCTTACTTCAAAGTCTGCCTCTCCCACAGGTCACTGTCCCGCTGTCATTAATCTAGGGCTTACGTGCTCCTGGAGCGTTGTGTATTGTCAGTTCTTCAGGGATCAGCTGCTCATCCGTGGTTACACAATGAATGCTTTAGAGCCTGTTTCTGAGCCCTTGTCCACGGATCAAATTCATTCAACCTTGCAGAGAAACACAATCGGAGCTGACAGTGGGCCTGTCACGTGGTTTGTCAGGTACAGGTGAATGTGTGCAGCCAGTGTATCTGAATGCCCATGATCTCCGTTAGCCTAAATGCAGAGAGTTGAAGGAAGCTCTGTATGTATTTCATCATTTCTCTTTTTATATTCTATCGTGCATCTTCTTACTAGTTTTTAGCTGATGGAAGTCACACATTTTCCGACTGGCCAGGTACTTCGTTTGTATGCTAAGCACATACACAAGTGGCTGTCACTAGCAGCACTCACTGTGCGCTCTCTCCGTGTTACAGGTGTTTCAAGGCAGCGTTTGATCACTTCTTGGTGTTTGCATCCTCATCCATCCGCTACCACGTCTGTCTTGAGTAGACCCTTGTTAGGTTTTTTTGATGGAAAACAGACATCTTGCTCATTAGTCTGTTACTCAGTTGCTGATTAGTCACATTCTTGAGGCTCCATGCTTTTTTGCACCACAGACTTCCTGTTCCTCCAGCCTTCATAGCATCACTCTAGCTTGCACTTGTCAGCTGCTTTTGGCCATAGTAACTATGATAAAGGGCAGGCTGGGAGACTGTCCTGGTCTGATTTGGAACAAGGCAGCCGGCTATTGGGTACTGTCTGTGAGACCTTACACCCTGCCAAGCCTGCGAAAGACAGCAGCATCTGCAGCAGTTGGACCATCAGCAGTAAATGAGCTTCTGGGCGATGGTATCGTTTGATCTTGTGTTTTATCTCAGCTTATGGTTGACAGAGCCACCATCAGTTTTATAGTGAACCTGTGGATTTTGTCATAGCCTGAAAAAGCCGAGGTAAAGAACAGGAGAGTGAAATGAATGCCCCATCCCTGGATGTCTTCAAGGCCAGGCTGGATGTGGCTTTGAGCCACATCCAAACCTTTCTGTGATTCTATGTATCCATGCCAGGTATAAAGCCCTGTGTGAGTCCTCTCACGGCAAGGAATATATTTACACGTTACCTGTTCTCATAGATCACGGAATGGTTTGGGTTGGAAGGGACCTTAAAGACCATCTAGTTCCAACCCCCCTGCCATGGGCAGGGACACCTTCCACTAGACCAGGTTGCTCAAAGCCTCATCCAGCCTGGCCTTGAACATTCCATTACCTGGGTTATGTTGAGGGTAAGAAGACAGTCACAAGACCACTCAGTAATGTTTCCGCTGTGGAAGTACATTCTCATTATCCCTGAGTTTTAACTATTGTTTGATAAGGCTGTTATAAAGCCAAAACAAAAATGGTGCAAAGTGTTTTGTATAATTTATCATAGTGCTGTGATAGGAGGAGTGTGAAATAGAAATACACTTGTTTTCTCTAAAAAGCTGCTAAACAATTCACTTGAAATAATAACAACTTTCTCTGAAAACGTTTAAGGTTTTTGCTTTTCAAAATCCAAATTACTGTAGCACAAAGAACAACGTGAAGTGTGCTTCTCAGATACTGCACACGGAAAAATATTTGCATTCTGGCCTCCACTGAGCTGTCTGGAAAACAGTGAGCAATGAACAAACCTCTCTTGCCCTTTTTCCACCCTTCCCACATCCCCTCCTATTCCTTTTCCCTGCATACATGCACCATGCTGGAAATAGCTTGGAAGGTAACAGACCCGTAGCCATGGTGAAGAGTGGGTGTAATGATGAAAATAATGTGGCAGTATGTTTTCTTGTGAGTAATTTATGACCACTGGGTTGACACAGGCTGGTGGTAAAAGTTCACTGTTACGAGTCAAACTTCAAAAATCCTTCATATTTGAAATACATTATATGTTATGAGTCTTTTTTTTTAATGCTTGTTGGTTGTTTTGTATTGATTGGTATTTTTAATTGGTTTTTATCTTTCTAGGAGCCCAGGCTTGTGTTCTTGTTTTTTCTACAACTGACAGAGAGTCCTTCAAAGCAATCCCTACCTGGAAGGAAAAAGTCGTGACCGAAGTTGGAGACATTCCCACAGTTCTTGTGCAGAACAAGATTGATCTTCTTGATGACTCTTGCATACAGAAGTAGGAGTTTTGTCTTACTGTTTGTAAAGAACAATATATGACCTCCTATCCCTGTATACACGCATTTTAAAATAAAAATCTGTGGGAGTTTCTGGTGAAAACTTAGGGTATCCAGGTTGTTAAACCTGGGCCAGGCATGACCACGTGCCTGGGTATAGCTGGGTGAGTGTGATTGCTTGGGCAGATGTGCTTGCCAAGCTAGGAGCTTTCTGTTGGTTTCATGTCTTCTTCTGAAGCGTCAGCCAAAAATACAGAGGGATAGCATGAAGAGTTTGGTTGTGCCGTGATACAACCGCTCTAGATGAACCTGCCTTGGCAGGAGGAGTTGCACTAGATGATCTCCAGAGGTCCCTTCCAACCTTGACCATTCTGGGATTCTTTTTTTTTTTTTTTTTTTTTTAAATCACAAATTCTAAAACCGTAAAACTTCTCTCCTGTTAAAACTTAGGGTTGCTGTTACACGGTGCTGCGCAGCAGTGAAGTTACACTGTTGAGTTTGGGTAGTGAATGCTTGCTCCAACAATGAAGTAGTATGAAACAGGTTGTTTGAAAAAGAATCTTAGTATTCTTTGCTTCGCTTTAATTTGGTTTTATTGCTTATTTTTATCAAAACGTTCTAACTCTATAGAAATCCGTGTCTGTTAATACTCTCCAACTGCAAGGTGCTGATCCTTCTTCACTGTATTTTTCTTTACAGATTTTACTGTCAGTTCATCCTGCCTTTGTATGTATGACCAGTTTTCATTCTTGCCATAAAAGCAGCTGAACAAATGCTAATTTTTATTTACCACAGCATATCACATAGAAAATATTGCATGATGCAGTCGCTCATTCTCTACTACTTTATTTCTACCATCTGCCTGAGAGATTTAAAATCTTTCTTCTTCTTGTTCCCTGCACTGGCTTTCTGTGTTCTGTTTGCTATCATTGGTGGCATAAACCAGCTTCTACTCCCTCTGCAAAGAATACTGAGGATATTACAAAGGAAAAGCAAAATTGCATTTGAACACCTCTTTTATTCATGGTATGTCGCTTAGGTTTTGTTCTCTGAATACTCCGTCTGCCTCAGTAACTTCATCTGTCTGATGACCTGATTTCCCTTGGTGTGCAATTTTCCTTCCTTTTGGTTTCACTGAAACCTGTCTTCAGACCCTTAGGAAATTTTAGTTAATGAAGTCAACAAATACTGAGACACAATTACTTTTGGTCATAAAGAAACTACATGTAAAATACCTTCTTGTTATAGCAGAGTTAATGTAAAAAAATTAAGGATTAGGTATTTTTTGACTGATTTTCTTACCCCACCTTGCCATGTTTAACTTACCCTGAAGCATTTTGTACGTAAGAATAAATGCTGACAAATAACACAAATCACTATTCACACAATCTTTTCCTGTTATGCAGTGAAGAGGCAGAAGCACTGGCAAAAAAGCTAAAATTAAGGTTCTACCGAGCATCGGTGAAGGAAGACCTCAACGTAACTGAAGGTATGAGACGGAGCAGGTGTCTGTCCTGCCTCTGCTGCAGCACTGTACATCTCTCCTGGGGAGCTGATCTGTCGCTTCCCATGTTGTTGCATGCTGTTGGCAGTCCTTTGCACGCTTCTTAGCAGCACGCTTTTAAGCACAGTTAGAAAGGGTATCAGTGTGTTAAGCCCGTGCGTGGCTTCAAGTTGGAACCAGATGATCTTTAAGGCCCCTTCCGACCTAAACCGTTCTATGAGTCTAATATTTAGAACTGCCAGTGTGTTAAGGCTGCTTAGTCCTAATGACTGCCAGTAAGCCTTGAACTCCTAAAAAAATTATATGTATAAGTTCAGCTATTGCAATATGCAAATTGTTTAAGAGATTCTGTTGTAATTGTTTATAAGTGATATAAACAATTATTCCATAGTTCTGTTTAAATAAAGAACAGTAAAAGATTCGCCTTCACAGAATCACAGAACGGTTTGGGTTGGAAGGGACCTTAAAGGCCATCCAGTTCCAACCCCCCTGCCATGGGCAGGGACACCTTCCACTAGACCAGGTTGCTCAAAGCCTCATCCAGCCTGGCCTTGAACACTTCCAGGGATGGGGCATCCACAGCTTCTCTGGGCAACCTGTTCCAGTGCCTCACCACCTGCTCCATGAAAAGCTTTTTTCTGATATCTAATCTAAACCTCCCTGCTTTCAATTTAAACCCATTACCCCTTGTCCTGTCAGGCCTTTCTTGGCAGCCTTTTGCTAATGGTGACATTTTACTAGTTCCCAAGTATCACTTTTTATGTATGTATTTAATTTCATAAGAGTACTGTTACAAAATTCAGTCACAGTCTTCTGTGGGGTAGGTTTGAATATTTATGAATCACAGTCTCTGATAACTTATTTGTTTCACTGGGCAAACTTCATAGTAAACTTTTTCTTCTCTGTTAACATCATTCACCTTGAGGAAAAAAAATCTACAACAGAAAATGTAAAATGTTTCTGTATCATCTTTAGTGAGTTATTAAGTACAAATGTAAATATACACAGGTTCTGAAGATTCTCCTGTAGTTGTAGATTCTTTTCCGAATCCTAGGTAGACTTTTTATACCCCAGAGGGGAATGAGGGGAGTGTTAGTCAATTAGAAAACTGTTGCTGCCAAGCTGTATTTTTAGCCTGATGTCACATGACTGCCATTATTCTAAGGCTTCTTGCAAAAAAAAAAAAGAAGAAATTAATTCCTTCATAATTCTAAAAAGTTCCAAGTTGCATGAATTGGAACATTTGGTGGTAGGTCTGCACCAGCTTTGCTCCAGCAGTATTGAGATGTTTGTGTGCTGTGCAAGCCCCTAGTACTGCAAACTCTGGGTCGTGGGTGGACACTGGGCTGGCCCTGGTTCTGCCCAGGCACGGAGGCCTGCTGAGGGAGGATGGCTTACTGGGTCATGCTGAACCTGTGGTGTGGAATGCACCTGTGTCACTGCACAGAATGTTGATACCAAGCTGTTCTTACTGCCGTGAAGATTATTTTTAAGCATACTCTGATGTACCTTTTTTTCTTTTGAACATTCCAGTTTTTAAATATTTGGCTGATAAATATCTTCAAAGGCTCAAGCAACAAACAGCTGAAGATCCAGAAGTACTACATACAAGCAGTAACAAGATTGGTATGTATACTGTAATAAAAAAAAAAAACCTGAAGGCAGTATTTTGTGCCATCAAATATTATGGTTTCATCTGTTTGCTTTTGGAGTTACTGTAAGGTGAATCAGGGTCTAATTACTACCTTCCTGTCTTAGGATATTGTCTCCTTTCCTTTGGTAAAATACCTCTGTGACTCTCTAAAGCGAGAAGATTGTCAAACTGATGCACTGAAGTTTCTAGCTAATGGTTGGCAAGTGCCCTTGTGTCAGATTTGTTTAAAGAAACATTGTGTAAGGACCTGAGAAAGGATGCTTGTTGGGTTTTTTTAATGTAATTAGTATTAGTGTTACTCATCGTGGTGCAGATTTCCAAGAGACTCACAGTGAAGGAATCTGGCATGTAATAAGAAGGTCTTTGTAAACTGCCTTTTGTAAGGGAACACTGTAGGCCTTCTTTAAAGCATTTCTGAGTCAGTTCGTTTATTTTCCTTAAAGCACTCCCTTTTTATCCAGACTTTTTCTTTACCTTTATCTCAGCAAAGTTTCTAACTTAAAAAAGTCATGTCTGTCTTTTATTGTATTGCTCAACAAACCATAATTTTGTTACCATACAATTAGTAGCATTAACATACACAGATGAGTGCACACGCTCCCCTTCAATTACGGACAGTTGTATACCAGCTTTAAATACTGCCTGGCTAGTAATTCCAATTGACTGTACTTAAAATTGAGCTGCAAAATTGACCCAGAAATATATAAAGCCTTTAAAAACTAGAGTATGCATTTGAGAGGCATTGCCATGCCTTAGTGTTATGTGGTAAGTGTTCCCGTCCTGGGCTGTATCAGGAGAAGTGTGGCCAGCAGGTCGAGGGAGGGGATTCTGCCCCTGTACTCTGCTCTGGTGAGACCCCACCTGGAGTGCTGCGTCCAGCTGTGGAGCCCTCAACATCAGAAGGATACAGACCGGTTGGAGCGAGTCCAGAGGAGGCCACGAAGATGATCAGAGGGCTGGAGCACCTCTGCTATGGGGACAGGCTGAGAGAGTTGGGCTTGTTCAGCCTGGAGAAGAGAAGGCTCCGGGGAGACCTTATTGCCGCCTTCCAGTACCTGAAGGGGCTACAAGGAAGCTGGGGGGGACTTTTTACAAGGGCCTGTAGTGACAGGACAAGGGGTAATGGGTTTAAATTGAAAGTGGGGAGATTTAGATTGGATATCAGGAAGAAGTTCTTCACGGAGAGGGTGGTGGAGCACTGGAACAGGTTGCCCAGAGAAGCTGTGGATGCCCCATCCCTGGAAGTGTTCAAGGCCAGGCTGGATGAGGCTTTGAGCAACCTGGTCTAGTGGAAGGTGTCCCTGCCCATGGCAGGGGGGTTGGAACTGGATGGTCTTTAAGGTCCCTTCCAACCCAAACCATTCTGTGGTTAATGTATTATGCTGCAGGAAGTAAAGAAATTAAAATACTTTCCCTGTCTTTAATTTCTGTAGGTGTTTTTAATACAGCTGGTGGAAGTCACTCCAGCCAAAATTCTAGCACTCTTAATGGTGGAGATGTCATCAACCTTAGACCAAACAAACAGAGGACCAAGAAAAGCAGAAGTCCCTTCAGCAACTGCAGCATACCTTAGAGCACTTTTGGAGGGGAGAACAACCCACAAGCCAGTGAATTGGATGAAGTTGTGCAATTGAACACAGAGTAAAGCCAGCTGTAGAGGTATTTTCACCAGTGCTTTAGCGAATCTTGGGCCTACGGGATCCTTGACGGAGGGTGGATTTATATAAGTTGCTGATGCAGTGGGGTTTGGTGTGTAGAGCGAGACACCTGCTGGCAAAACAGAACCGTGGCTCCATGTGCACTTTGTAAAAAAAATTTGCAAGCTCCTCCTTTTTCAAGGAATTATTTACAGAGCTATGAACTGGGTATTGCTGAATTGCAGAGCACATTTAACGTAAGGATAACCCAAGTATAGGCACAGCCCCTAACACTACAGCCCAAGGTAAAGCAGCAACCTTCAAATTAAACATCAGAACTTCAAATTCAGCATCAGAATTGGTTAGTCGGGCCACTAAGAAGATAAATGAAGAACAAAAAGCAGATCCTGCATTTTATGCCTGACTGTATTACCATGGATTCTGGCAGTCCTGTCAGTGCCATATACTTGTATTAGATCCATGAGTGCGAAGGTGTGTATGTCAGCATTTGGTATGAATATTCAGGCTAAATTCCAGTGTATCCATTACTTGGAGTTCAGCTAATGATCATAAACCAGCATCTTCCAAAAAAGAATTCCCTTGAAAAATACTGCATTTCAGATGAGGCTTTCCCGGCCACCGCGTTTTAACTTGCTCTACTTTGGGCCTAAAAGCTTAAATTTTAAAAATGTATGGTGCCAAAAATGCTCCTCCTTTTTACCTAATGCTATGCTAGAGACGTTTTTGTAAGTTTGTTTGTCTCAGTCTTAACAGGATGAACAAATGACAGGGTCTTTGACACTAATACCTGTTCAGAATGAACACAGAATCATATTCCTGTTCAGATTTGACTGTAGTAGCCCGTGTCGTCGATGAAAATGAACTTGCAAAGTGGTGTCTTCTTTGGAAAAATGTTCATAGATACCATAAACTGAATTGTGGAGGATCCAAAAAGTTGCAGCTGATGGCTGAATGACATTAATGAGACATTCCTGAATGTTGTCTCAAATGGAATTCTGCAAGATCAGAGACATGGCAAAAATTTTTTGAAGTGCTGAAGTAATTTTACAGAACTGATTTAGACGTTCAGGAGCCCAAATCTAAATCAGAGTTATTGGGGCTTAGGCTTCTAAATCACTAAGGTGCTTTTAAAAATGCTGAGCAAGATATCTTTTATTTACCAAAAATTAAACACTTTTTAATCCTCTTCAAGAGCGTGCATGCCTTTTAAAAAAAGTATCCATCTTGTTTACATGTTTTTGTATGGTACAATATCATTTTAACTTTCTAGGGTTTCTACAACAAACCTGCCAGTGACAAATGCAAAATATGCTGCTTGAAAAAGAGATGTAGAGTTTTAATAGTTTTTTTAAATGGTGTGTGAGAATGTAGATGAGTCGAGTGACCCTGTATATTTTTGGAGGAAGGACTTTTCACTGTGTGAATTGACGTAGGAAGCCTGACTGACTTTGTCTTTAAGTCAACGAGTATGAAAACTGAAACATACTCTTTTTTTCCCCACTGTCTGCAGGGAGAGAAGTGGGTGGCAAGTTATGCACAAACACTAAAGCTCTCTCAACTCTCTGTTCTGTGTGTACTGTATGAGACTTTCCAGCGAATACCGTTGTTCCTTTGGCAAGCTGTTAGAGCATCTCCCATTGCTGGCAAGAAGGCGGCCTTCAAGGCGCTCGATCCCCTTTGCTATTGCAGCCAAACTGTGTGTTCTTCACCGTAACGTTTCCTGTATTTTCTCTTGGATAAAGGCCTTTATTTTTTAACAAGTGCATTTAATCGCGGTACGTATGTGTGAATGGAGTCGAGTCCTGTCTGTCTTAGCAGTTTAAGAAGACAGACACGTGGTGATCGGATTTACGACTGTACATCGCGGGGCCACCTCACAGGTTCAGGATGCGGGATGGAGGGTGTGCAGGAAGAACTTTGACAACTAGTTTTAATATAGAAACTTCTGCGTTTTGGTGTGTGTCCGCCAGTTTCACATTTTTTATTCATTTTTCATAAAAAAGAAAACCACAGAGTGTCTGAAACATCTTTTTTGCCTTGTCGGACTTTGTAGAGAGTACTGAAAAATAGGTCTTTCGTACATGTACTGACTATGTGTACTACTACGTGCTGTACTGTAGACACTGTACTGTTACCTAAGCCATTTGTATTTGAGGTCTGTCATTATAAACCACTGTTGAAGGTCTGAAAACTCAGTAGAAATGTATAGGTGGAGACTTGACAGACTTGTTAAATTTAGGATATGTTGAAATTAGTATATGCTTTAACGTAGGAATAATTATTTTCAGCACTGGGTAACACTGAATTTTAATTTCATTCCCATCTTAAATCTGAAGTGGCTTTTCCTTTGTTCTGATTCTGCAGTGCTCGTTCTCTAGTACAGCTGGGATGCAGAGTGCCCAAACTAGCATTTTTCTGGAGCACTCTGCATGTGCACTGCTTGAAAGCTGATTTTTTTTTTACTTTGCTGGGGTTAGTGTGCTGATGTAAACCAGATGACTTGCATATTGCAGGAATCCTTGCGTATTCCCATCACTCTCCAGCGGGAGTAACTTTTGCCTTTTGGGGGAAGAGACAAGCCTAAACATTTAGCACGTGCTTCGTCCCCTGTGAACTATTTTCATGGTAAACATTGCCCGGTTCCCCACTCAGAGGGTTCTCATGAACGCATCATACGTTGTCGAGAGCAAAACCTGCAGGTGCAGAGCTGATAATAAAAATGCCCTTCTCTCTGCGTCTGCCTGACTGCGTGGTGGAAGAGGATGTAGCTCTCTTGCACCCGTGGCAGATGGGCATGCTGGATTAGGAGCAACAGTTCCTACAAAGACACAAAGTTCCATTCTCTGAGACTAAGCTAATTGCACTCCTGTTGTATCTGTTCCTATCTTGATTGGCTCATTGGATGTGTTGTCTGAATCTTGCCACAATCCTTTGCCTCTGACTGAAGATGCTACCACGAGTAGACAGCATCAGTAGTTGCTCATGCCTTAGCGAAACAAGCATTTACTAAAGAGGATGACACTGAAGCACCTGCGCTCCCGCGCTGTCTCCGTTCAGTGAATGGCTGCTCTCCCAGGGAGCGATGCAAAGCCGTAACGCTAGGGGTGTATTTCCAACGGGATATAACAAATCGTGAAGTTGTAAGACTGATCACGCTGAGATTTTTGTGCTTGTGTGTGTGGTTAACAAAAGAATTAAACATTCCATTGCAGACAGTGTTGGAGCTTTCTTATTTTCTTACGGCAATGCTTACTTTTTAGAGTCAAAAAATGCCTCGATTACCGTATTGTCAGTCTGAATTCCTGTTGAATTTTGTTGATGCTTTCAGTAAAATTGGTCCTTTTCCTTTCTTTCTCTCCACTATTGGGCTGCAGCCTATCTGACACGTAGTTTTTCCTTTGCATCACTTTCCGCAGATGCCCGTTCCACGAAGGTGAATTGGGCAGGTGAGCGCGGCGTCCCGCTGGTAGGTCGTGCGGGGGTGCGTGTGCTACGCAGCGCACGCACGCTTTGATCCCGCTCACTCATCTGTGCGAGTTGGTAGCTGCCAGTGAGTAACGGAATGAATGATCTGCCCTGCAGAAGGCCGCCCATGGGAATTCAGTCGTGCTGCCTGGGTCCCCGGGGCGGTACGGAAGGGCCCTGCTGCTGTTCTGAGTGTAATCACAGACCTTTGGCTGAGGTTGCAGCACCTGAGCTCTAATTGTACATAAACCAGGGAGCAGGTATGGGCTAACAAGCTCGATTCCATCGCAGCTGCCGTACCACCTCTTTGTAGGATGCAACAGTTGTGCGCATCTTCTTTGTAATGCACAAGTAGTATGGACAGGAGAAAATACTTGTTAAATATGGCGTGCAAGCAGGCAGTTGAAATTAAAGAAGAAAAACTGCAGCAGTGTTTAGACTGTAAGATGAAAGGTGCTATAACAGAGGAACTTTTGAGCAGTTGCATGTTGAAGATAAGTTTGACAGGAGCCATCTCAAAGCCAGGTGAGCCCTCGTACTGACCTGGGCTCACCCTTGGTTTTCTCGCTGTAGGGTAATGCTGGTAAGTCTGTGGAGCGATTGTTCTTTCTTCTCTTGCTAAGGTCAGTGTGCTTCAGCGGGACCGCCTCAAGTTGGTCAAGAAAGTAAAAATTAACCTGGACCAGGAGAAATACCGCCAGGATAAAGGTGCATCGTTACTAATAAACTACTTCATTGCAAGGTCACGTGAATCCGAGTGGTTGGAAGAGAAAATGTACATAACTGGTTGTGTTCACGTAAATGTAATACATTTTTAGGAAAAAAAGGTAACATAACTTGGAGTAGATCCTCAAGTGGAAAAATGCTTAAAACTGAGTATTCTGCGTATGCCATTCCTGTAAAATCCCTGTTAGTTCTGCTGTTCCCTTGTGACACGCGCTGTGTCATGCACCTTCAGGGCGGTTACTCGATCACTGTTTGGTCTGACACAGGTGGCTACTTTTGTGACTGTCTGTGTACTCAACTGCAAAACCAGATGCTGTCACCCTGCATCTGCTGGAGAAACGCGCGTGCTCGATTCTAGTCTGCGTGTGCAAGGCGTTGGGATCCGAGGCAGCACACTAATACCCTCCCGGGAACCCATATGGGCACTGCCGGCCAATGGAAATGCTGTTCCTGGGCTCTCCCCTCCGATTTCTCCACCACACAGTTCAAACGCAACATAAGGGGTTCTGTTCTGTTCTTCCTGGTCAGTTCATTGTGTCACAGTCGGTCGGGCTGATACAGTGACGCGGTCCGAGTGAATGTCTGTAGATTCTGGAAGTGGCATTAAAGTATTCCTGATACAGCGAAGAGGCCTGATGCATTTTTTGAAGAGAAGCGAGTAAATAGTCACTGGGGGTTTTTTTTGGTTTTTTTTTTTTTTTTTTTTGGTAAAACAGAACTCACAGCATCTGGGTCTGCCTCTTCACCCAGGTACCTCAGGAATCTGGGAAGCAATACGCTCCTGCTTCCTCCTGCCTGCAGTTTCGCCCACAGAAAAACAACGTGCTGGCTCAACACCCCAGTAAGGAGTAATTAGCAATGTTATAGGCAAAGAAAAATATCATAATGTGAGAAAATTCCCTTTTTTATGGTTATGTTTAGGTCAGGGAAGTGCTTAACTACGATTAAGTGAAGATCCTGGGAAAACTGAATCTGGGACACTCTCTAGGTGGGGTTTTTAGGTTCTGTGCGGCTGGGTGATGTTTAGTTCAGGAAGCTGGGTCGTCATTTCATGTGCCTTATGCCAGTCCCTGAGACAGAGAACCAGGGCAGACACCCTGGCGCTTCCCAGCATCTCCTGAGAAAACGTTTCCTGCTCACAAGTGTCGCGTTTCCCAGGCTGGCTTGTGCTGCCGAGTGGAGCACAGCCTTATTTCACTGCTCGGGAAGTAACGGGACCAGAAGTTCACTGGGTTTTCTTACACCACCTTCGTCCCAGCTGCCTTTGGCCTGCTGAGCCTGGTCAACTGTGATTACATTTCTGACAGCAGCGTTTAAAAAAAGGGAGCAACTTTAATCTGTCCTTTAGTCGATCTGTTAAGTGTGTGATGCCAACTGTGTCCAGCTCTTTCGAGTTCCCTCAGCCGCGATCCGTGTTTAAGACAGCCACTATGGAACTACAGTTCCAAAAAAAGGAAACAGGTGCCTTCTGCTGTGCCTTACAGGTAGGCCCATCTGAGAGCAGCTCTAAGGACAATGTCGCTGGTTTTAAAACTGGATCCGTGGGATCTCTGATGGACGGGGCGTGAGAGGGTGGTGATGGCCGTATCGCACTCTCCCGTGGGCTAGATGAGGCAGGGTTTAGGAAAGCAGAAGGCAAACAGAGGCAGGAATTTTAAAAATTAACCAGTAACAGGTCAGAATAAGTCACGTCGGCACTACCCGTTACAAACCGGAGGTTATCTTGTCTCTCGTGAAACTACTGCGAGCTGCATGGCGCCGCATTATTAAAGTTATGGGTGGTAATGAGGAGGACAGGGTGTTGTTTATGAAAATACAATATACAGTTTATTAACGGGTTTGATTTATTGCCACGAGCTGTCTGTTGTCCCCAACAGTCAAGGTCGCGCACTGTATACAGCAGAGGAAAGCCGAAATCTCCCTATATGACAAAACAACTTTAAAAAAACACCAGGAGAATGGAGGGAAGGCTAGGTTTTGATGGTTTCCGACAGTTCAGCAGAAGCACAATTACAGTTTGCGACAGAGCGACATCGCCTCTACAGGAGAACTCCTGACAGCATTCCTTATTGCCAAAAGAAAACGCCAGTGCTACCGAACCCCGTTAAAAGCTCACACCTCGCAGTGGGAGGTGCCTTGGTGCGCGCGCATGCGTATATACCCGCGTGCTCAGGCAGAAAACTTTTTTCTTCTTAGCTTCTGTGTGCTTTTTACGGAGATTTCCTCATCCTGCCATTTGCCACAAGTAGCCAGGAGGACGGTTCAATCCTGTTTGTTGTTGCAAGGCTGTCGTACGGCTGATTTCTGATGCTCCAGCAATGTGATGGACTTTTCAGAATTCTCTAGGTTTCTGAGCAGAGTCTCTAGCCTCCTTTTGATTTTCTTCTGATCCTCGATGGCGCACCCGATGACCACAGACTGAAATTTCTGATCGATGGGTCCCGCCGGCACGTCAGACGTGCACGCACCGTAAAGCGACATTAAGCGGATCTTGGCGTCTTCCAAATCGTCTAGAAGTTTATTGACAATCTCATCGATCATCTTGGTGGCGGGCAGTTTGCTGGGCGTTGCGGATGGTTTCGACGGAAACCTCCACAGTGAGGGTTCGGCCCATCAGACGATTAGCAGTCAAATTAAGTTCTTCTCTCTCGCCTAAATCAAAGCCAAGAAAGTACACTCGGTTACAGGCTAACACTCTCCTGTGCAAATAACATAGTCACAGTGCTACAACTTGGCAAAAAAACCCAAGCTGTGTTGGTTTTTGTTAATTAAGTGACAATCAGCAAGAATTCCGGGGGCGGGAAATGAGGTTTTTTGCATTTGGCCAAGTCCTAAACAGGAGCTTGAAATGAGGCATTAAGCTCTGCTAGAAATGTAAGCCATCCTTTTCCGCTGCTGACGCAAGGCCGGCGGCAGCGCATTAAAGCGAAGCATACAATACTATCAGGAAACGTGACTCATTAACACAACAGGCACGTTAAGGACCTTCCCAGCCGCTGCGAGGGAGAGACGCAGACAGTACCCCTAAAGGCCCTAAAAGAGAAGACTGATTTCTGACTACCAGCTGCAATTGGGCCAAGAAGAAACTGGTTTTCTCTTTTCTGAACACTAAGGGTTTTTCCTAAAACATGGGCACAAAATATTTGACATGTAGGCTCTTGAAGAGCCAACAAAGCAGCAATTTAAAGCACCTCACATAAAATAGACAGATTCAGGGAACATACTTAAAGCTGTGTGTCACATAACCATGACAACGATCTTAAATCAGCAGGTTCTTGCAGGCCACAGGCTTCGTAGCACTCGTGCCTGTCCAGTAGTCAGAGTCATTAAAATGCTGGTTTTTCAACTATATTTAATCATTATCGACTTCTCTCCCTCAGCTGAGCTATGCTGACGCTGATTTTGAAAATAAACCAGTGAACCGAGCATGGGCTTTCGCATACACCCTAGTGACATTCTCAGGAGACCTTCCAACTGAGCAGCAGGCAAGAAAAAGGGGATCCCAGGGTAATGGGATGGCCCTTCAGCCACCTCCACCAGCTCCACTGCCCGTACCTTTACGGCAGGAAGCACGCACAGGGAGCTGCTCCCCAAGGCATGGGCTGTTTGGATGTCAGGTGGAATGGGAGGGTACGGCAGCGCAGCTTCTCACCTTCACTAATGTGCCTCATATCCTGGCTGTTCTGTATGTTGTGGATCATTTCCAGCAGGATCTCTTTCTCTTGCTCCATAGCAGATGCTGCGTCACGGAAAGCCTCTACCCTGAACGTGGTTGAACCAAACAAAATGTTTAGATATTAAAATAGCTGTTCACCTATACAGCTGCCAAGAACCTCTCTTTTAAACTTCACCTTAAGTACAGTCAGTTCTGCATTATCCATGAGCCAGACTCGATTTCATGACCTTTTCCCGTACCTTAACTTCACTTTTCAAGACTCAAAAATCAGGAGGGAAAGCAAAACCACAGTAATCTGATCAGACTTTAATTTTTTATTTTACTGATGTAAGTTCTGTTCTATCCTACTCCACAGTTAGTCTGGATATCCAGAGCTTGATGGTACTCCAGCCCCTAGCCCAAGTCCTGCAGCTAACTGGCAATTATTATCAGCTGCTTAACTAGAAGAGAAACAGACTGAGTCCCCGTGGGGGGGCTGAAGGCTGCAGCAGCGGGATGGAGGTGGCAAGGGGGCCTGGTTCCCCACCGCCCCCAGGCCAGCAATGCAGAACCCCTGCGACCCACCTACAGGGCAACAAACACTCCAGAACACTCCAATGCTGCCTGGTAGCCAAACGACCCCCTTCATGAGGAAGAAAAATGGATGAGAGGGACAAAGCTCACACCCTCTCGTTAGTGTGACAAGGCCTTCCCCCTGCCTTGGTCACTGGGAGCAGATGCTGGACTGCCTGCCCCCACCGGGATTATTCTTCTGTGGGAGCAGCTCCTGTTTCTGGGCTTGCAGGGAAGCACAAAACTCGGTTCTTCCCAAAACAGGACCCCTACTCCAGTCCTGTTGGCTATGCTGAAACTCACAGTGAGGGCAAAGGGAAGGCCTGTTGGAAACCTCTCCCTGACAACTTTCCGGCCTCGGTAGCCGTCTGGTCTCATGCCCATAGTTTGCCCTCCTTCTCACGGTGTAAGGTACAGGCCCGTCCGGCCACAGGCAGTGTGAAAACACCCTACTAGAAATTTGTGCTTACGTCCTTAATTCACATCTTACTCCCCACCAGGGTTTTAGGGAGAGGGCTTTTTGCATTCAGCTGAGTCATCTGGAACAGCGCAAGTGGGAACTGTCTCCTTTGGAGACTGGGGACAAGAGGGGAGCATCCCCCTCCCCTGGCTTTGCCCCGAGGCTTGAGGGCAGTGGCTCGTAGAGGACTTGCCAAGCTGCAACTGGCTGCGAGGGCTGAGCCAAAACCTGCCAACTCTGCACTCCCAGGCCCCACAGAAAAGCAGAACGTCATGTGAACCTGGCGGCCGGTTTCCGAGGCTCTCAACACACAGCTCGGGAGGTCTAGCTGCTGCAGGCAGCACGGGAATCCATCTATCCTCAACTCTATGAAACCTGGCTGGGAAAGGGGAAACAAACCAAAACATTTTTAAAGTCTCTTAGGTGCTCTGTGCACCGTCACTGGATGCTGCCCCGTGACAGCGGTGGCTCATTGCTCCTTCTCTAGGTAAGGGCTTATCTCCGGGGATGGACATGGAGCTGCTGCTCCTTCCTGGCTGAGGGCAGAGAGAAAAGGCAAAAGAAGGGAAAATGGGAGCATTTGAGGATATAAATACACTTCACATGCAGCCTGCTCACCAAATGGTTCTGTTTTACAAAATATTTAGCCTAACTTAGTCAGTGAAAGCACAAGCTTCAGGCCTTGCCTTTAATGTTCATTCTAAGGAGGAGTGGGAAAAGTTAATGCAATGCAAATTCTTGCCGAGAGCTAATGCTTTTAATTATTATTTTGGACTGGTTAGTAAGAGCAGTGAGGCAGGTGGAGTAATTTCATACTTCAGATGTCTGCACTTTATAATTCAGGAAGTCTAGCAATATTTTCATAAATGCCTCGCCGTGCCTTTTTAAAAAACTGGTATTTTCACTGTTTAAAAAATGCATTGTGGTCGCTGGAAAGCCTCAAGTTAAAATTTGGAAGTGTAAAATTTCAGTTTTAATCATGTTTATAAAACAGATTCAGTATTTCACTGCACTGATGTAAAATCTCAAGGTCTGCCTTCAGTGGATGGACCAATCCATCCTGTGATTTCCACAGGCTTTGCTGGCTCCTATGAAGAATGTGGAAAAACTGCATTGCAGGGATGCATCCCGACTTGGTACAGTTTGAAAGAGAGTGCCTAAAACTGCTTCCAAGAGCACAACTGGTATGTGAAGTAGGACCCAAAAGCCAAGTTATCAAAATTTATGACTGTATACTGAAAAAAAACCCCATAATTTACCGGCTAGAGCTTTGATTGATGTTATTTTACAGAAAGTCACATAACCAAATCTTGGGAACTATTTTATTTGCAGTAATTGCTTCTTGGGAATGATTTTAAACCCGTTGTCAACTGTGATCCATAGTCGTATCGCAGTAAAATCCACTGGGATTTTAATTTCTGGATCATATTTACTTCCATAAACGGCAGTGACAGCGAGTGCCCACCCTGGCACCACGTAACGGCATGTCAAGGAGGCACGCTGGCTCCTGCCGCCGGGGCAAAGGCACGGGGAAGCCGCCCGTCAGGACTCCCCCACCCCTCTGCCATCCCTGCTAAAAATTTCCATCTTGACGAATCATGAGCAGTGTGACGGGACTAAATAACCCTAAAAATGAAACTCCTGTGGAAGGCAGGGTGGAGGCACTGGGTGACAGCCCACCACGCTGGCACCAAAGGCAGCACCTCGGTCTGCAGCCGGCAGGAGTTACACGCTGGAACAGAAGGAAACATGGCCCCAGAAAGGCAAGAGAGTGGGGCGGAGAAAGGGGCAGTGCTCAGGACCTGCATCGCACTGAGGTCAGAGGAACAGGATAGGATCGTTTCAGAACAGCGCTCCAGGGGGAATGAGAACCCAAAACCAAGGGAACCACTCGCACCAGCCTCAGGAGAACAGCTAGTGCTCCAGAGCAGATGCTGGGAGGTGAGATCAAGGTGAGATACCCACCGTAGCCTGACCCTATTTTGCCATCCCGGCTTGTACCGAGGCCTCTGGCCACCTGCCACCCCACGCTTGGGTGGGTCTCGCTGGCTCCTCCTCGCCCCCAGGCCACAGCCCGGGAGAGACCCCAGCCCTGGCAGGAACCAACCGCACACCTTTCTCTCCTTACTTGCTGCTAGAGCATCAGGTCCGCACCTTGCAGTCAGCTCTCCCAATTTCTTCCCCAAAACATGCTTGAACTTCCCAGGCTTGTGTGAATCTTTACTTTCTTGGGTGGGGGACGCAAATAAAAAAAGACTGGAAGAGAGAAACCTCCAGCAGAGGTGACTGCTGTGGAAAAGGGTGGAAACAGTCCAAGTCTCAAAAGATAGAAGGCAAAGAGAACACAAAATACTCATATTTATGCCCAATTATCGACTGCCTCAATGGGGCGGTACGATCTTTTTCTAACAGATGAAAATATCCGATCATGTGTTTACTTGGAGCATATTTGTCTCTTTGAACACCAACTACATAGTCCACCCATTACCTAAGACTAAAAAAAACCCATTCCTTACTCCTGATCTTCTCTGGTCAGAGAGCGATTAGGCGCGCGGCGCCTTTCTTTCCCGCATACCAGGTCCATGAGCAGAGCATTCCCCTGCGGAACAGGTGGACCGGCCTGCGCTTTTGTTTCCAGATGAGAAACTCGATACCCGCTTTTTTATGACAGCTGCAATAACTCCCTCCTTGGGACTTCTGCCTGACTCCACCAGCCTGCGGGCTGGCGGCACAGACACGTTTTCACGGGAAGGAAGAAGCATCTGAAGATGGGGCAGGCTTTTTCTTGAAAGGCAGCCGAGCCCACTGGACGGAGGCAGAGCTGGGGGATTCACCCCGGCACCCTCGGCTGCTTAAACTGAGTTTTTCCGTTCACCGGTGAGCGTACAAATGGAATGGTGGGGGAATGAGGTTGTTCCGAAGGAGAACAGGAGCAAAAATACCAAAAATGAATATCTTAAAAGAAAATAACTAAACCAGAGCCTGACTTACTTCATCTATCGTTACACCTAAGACTGCATGTTCGCGTAACACAACCACCAGAACACAGTGACTCATAAACAGAGACTCTCGTCCCGCTTCCAGCTGTTCCCGAGATGCCTTGGCATTCACCAGCAGCCAGGGCAACACGAAGGTCCGAGCCCTTACAAGGGACAGACGTGCTGCCTGCCCCCACTGCCACCCCTGCCAAGGGGCTCACTCCTCGGCAGCCAAATTACTCTCCCTTTCCCACTCGCTTTCTCTACAGAAGAAACTCTCTCTGCCAATACCTAGCAGGGAGGTACGAAAATGCCCCGTTATTGTTGGAAAAGCAGCTCTTGAGGAAGGGAAAGGAGCGAAAGAAGGCTGTTCCAACCAGAGCATTTCCGAAGGGATGAGGGTTGCCTTGGGTTTCGGCCGACTTTGGCAACTTGAGAAGTGAGGGCTGCCGAGGGATTTAATTAAAGGCTGTCATTCAGTTTGACAGATTTTCACTTACTCTGTTTACAAGCAGCATCTTGAGGGTCTACAGCTAAACTAATCCATCTGGAGAAGGAAGAAGCATGGAAGCTCTTCCTCCTGTCATAATTTTGAAGTGAGGCACACTGATTAGTTATGGGAAAAAAAACCCCAAAGACTTGAGTGCCTTTGATTAAAGTAGTTTGTCTCTTTTTTTGTAGTTGTTCCACATTCAGACCTACGCCTGCTTGAAAGGCCCACAGCAAACTGGGAAGTTCAATCTGGGGTTGGATTTCTGGTTAACCCAACCGTCTGCTGCGTTTCGGAGTCACGCAGCAAATTTAAAACGGGCTTTTGCATATTCTGCTGCTCCTTTTGTAATTACATATTCACACACCAGACCCGGATGCCAGCAGCGAGACCTGTTTGCAGACAGGGATTTTGTTTAGTCAAATTCCGAGCAGTCTGCGAAGGACTTCAAGGAGATTTAATCAAGCTAAGTGAAAGGCTAAATATAATAGCCCATAAAGTCCACTCCTGAATAATGCAAAGTAATGCAGGTAGGAAGAGGAAAACGCAACTGCTGCATCCCACAGAGCTCTTTTAATTACAGGAAAGTCCTAGAAACATTCTGGG